TATCCACACATGCATGTGTATTTATATACACATAATAAATATACACCGTACATAAATATTATGTAAACAAACTTTTATTTTGAATGCAATTAATCACGATGAATCGTTTGACAGCACTACAGTAAAACAGATCACATCCATGAAAAGGTACACTGGTACCTCAATATGCTTTCTCAGATTTGATGGCAAACTTTTGAAGCCAGATATTTACTTAATGAAAGTTATAGCTGAAGCTGAAATGTGCTTGTTGCATGAAAACAAACCTCATTGGTTCTCACACAACATATGCATACGTTTGAGCTTCGGTTCACCCATTTAATGCATGCAAGATAAAATAAAAATGCATAAAATGTAACAAGTATTTTTCAATTTGTAAGAAATAAAAAGTGCTGCTTTTTCCTCAGAAATTTAATCAAGTGAAAGTACAAGTAGCATACTTGGGTAATTTTGGGGGATTGGTTCTTTGTTCAAGTATTTTACACCCCTGTGCACTAAGTGGACCGCCCTAAAAACTGCAAGATTTGAGGTACTTATGATAACGCTATATGTGAACTGACTTGCCTTAATAGACTTAACCTTCTTGAATATGCAGAAGTAGATGAGGACATACCATCCATGGGATAATAGCAGACTGCGGTCTCTGCATCAAAACAGCATCCTTTAGCCAAGCAGCCGTCTTGCGTTATATTCGAGGTGCCACACAACACCCTCTGATCGGCAGAGATGCTGCAGCCTTAAAAGAAATCACCGCTTACTTTGAGAAAGACTGACACATGAACACTTTGGCGAATTAGTGGCTAATTCGTCTAAATTCATATGGTCTCATTTGTATGTTCAATCTGTGCACAATCTGCTCCCTAAAAACCATACATTTTCATATGAGTCACGTTCACCAGTGGGGTTGAAGCACAGCAGTTTTAGAGCAGCAGTGAGCTGTGTGAGTGGGACTGTTGTTCACCTTCAGGTTTGCTGTTGAGCAGCAGAGGGTCTGCTGGAGGCAGGGCAGGTGATACCTGGGACAGTTGTGTCGGGGGGAGTTTTGCACAAACTGGCATCTGATCTGACTGCACACTCAGCTGTTTTAGGGAAACAGCGAGGCGTTGGTTTGCATCACAAGACACTGTAGCGATATCTAACTGTCCGGCTTCATCTGGATAGAGGACCCTCAGAGTGTAATGGCCATCCTAAAAAGACAAAACTATCAAAGCTGAGCACCTCGGGTTTTTTTTTTTT